TTTGCCTCAGTTTCCTTATCTGTAAAATGATCTAGAGAAGGAAATGGAAAACCTCTCCAGTATCTTTGCCAAGAAAACCCCCAAATGAGGTCATGAAGAATAAGACACAACTGAAATGACCGAACAACAACAAATGGTATTAGCCACTACTTTAATTTTTGCTGGTTGATTTATATCTCTTAGGTGACATTCAATTATCTAACAGCCAAGAATAACACAATTTTATCTTCCCTAATAATGGAAACTGAAATTTTTAAATGTGTATGTAGCATAAATACCATGTTCAGATGTTGATGTAATTGATGATTCCAGTAAATTAAAAATCCATGTTAATTTTAGGCTTATTTGAAGCTCATGAAAATCAGTGAAAAGAGACAAAGATAAGGCCACAGATGTGATATTCCATCACTGTCTGACCTTGGGCAACTCATATACTTTCTCTAGGCCCCCATTTCTTCTTCTATAAAATGAAGGGGTTGGATCAGATGACCTCTTAGGTCCCTTCTAACTCTCAATCTGTGATCATGCATTTTCCTAGCTTCCTGTACAGGGTGCTCAGCTGATGAGAACTCCATATGGACCTTGGATTGTGCACAGACATTTTGTGATGTGTTTCCATGTGCTAACCATATGGTGCATAGGAGTCACTTTGATTGGCTGCCCAGGTGGAACTGGGAGTACAATCAAAAGGCACTGCTGGACCAGAATCTCTTCCTTCTTTTAGTTTGGCTTCTTCCTGCCTGATGGCATTCTGGTGAAAGAACAGAGATAGATAATGATGCAAGGGGAGTGGTTTTAGGCCCTCTTCATTTGAGGTCAACAGGGAGCCTGTGAATACAAGCCTTCATTCTTTGCCTAGGTATTTGTTCTCTCACTCTGGATAAGGCTATGACCTTGTGAGTTTTGAAAGGTCAGGAGAGTGAGCTACTAGGTGGTCTGGAATTTGAGCCTATGCCAGGTTTCATAGTCAGTCCAGTATTGAGGCCCCTGAGAACAAGGAGCCACTTTGGGATGTAGTCCAGAAGCAGCCGAGATAAGGGTTCTTCCAGCCTCAATGTCGCATTTGGACATAATCTTGGTGGGACAATACAATGTAGAAGCTGCATTAAGTCTGAGCCTACTCTCTCCAGAGAACAAAGTAGTATAGGGGATAGTGTACCCCCAAGGTGCTAGGGGAAAACATTTGTACTTCTGTTCTTGCTATATATATATATATTTTTTTAAATTTTGGAGGCAATGAGGGTTAGGTGACTTGCCCAGGGTCACAGAGCTAGCTAGTAAGTGTCTGAAGCCAAATTTGAACTCAGGTCCTCCTGACTCCAGGACTGGTGCTCTCTCCACTGCGCCACCTAGCTACCCCCTGTTTTTGCTATATTTTTGAAGTAAATGTGCCTTTGTAAAAGCTAATTGACATTAAATGGTTAGATGGAACCAAGGTGCTAGTCACTGACAGGTAACAGTAGATGGAACCACATTGGGATGGGTACTCAAGCAGATAGAATTAGAGATGATATACCCCTTCAAGAGTACTCCTAGAACCCTTTGGAGGGGGAGATGTAGCTGACCCAGTTCTGGAAAAGTGAGGCCAGAGAAATCACAACATTTATAAAGCCAGCAAACTGACGCCCTCATAGCCTAACAGGATCATCCTTTCTCTATCCAAGAGGTTGGACATTTGGCTCCATCTTCTTGGGAAGAGGGGAGGTGAAAGATGTGGTTGAAAGGCTTTGTCTCGTGCTTCAGGAAAGTAAGACTGTTCACATGCTGTCTTCCCTGTCCACCCTCAGGTCCCTGCTTAGGATCTGCTGCTTTCTAGTCTGTGCTGTGCTCTCTCTCAAAGACCTGTCTGAAAAAGGGGCAACTTTGCAATATAGACTACCTTTTCTAGACCCAGTCCAAAGAGGATGGCTCTAACCAAAAACAGTCTGAGCTAACTAACTCATCCCCAGTTCCTGAGACTTTTTCATTTACCCTCGTCAAGGTATGAATGTATAACTAAATATTCCAGGCTGTCCTTAATGCTTTCAACCCAGTGCAAAGAGCCTATCTATTCCTTCCCCAGAGAGATGTACCTTCCTATGACTTCATTAACTGGCTCATAAAACTTCTCTGATCAATCTTTACATTATGGAATAGTGAGAATAGAGCCAGATTTAGAAGTCAGAAGACCCAGATTTGAATCCCAACCTGACACTTATTTTCTTTGTAATCTATGGGAAGACATTTTATTTCTCAGGGCCTCAGTTTCCTCTCTGTAACATGAGGGCATAGGATGACATGATCACGGACCCTTTCTGATTCTGTGATTTTACTCTCTCCTAACTATAATAATTATAACATTTTGCATTGTCATTTTTTATATAAACAATTAACAACAATTGGTGGGGATATGTATGTTACTATAATTCTCATTTGCAAGTCTATCCTTTTGAAGTACATCTTCAGAATTTCCTGTAACATTATTTTGGACCAGGAATCTCTGGAATATATCTTACCTTTTCATAAGAAATAACATCTAAGTCACTAGACTCTTTTTTTAAACCCAATATTATTTTCTTTCATAACTTTCCTTCTTTCCTTAGCTTTATGGAAATGATTTTTTTTCCTTTTATGTTAAGTAAACATCTCAGGTTATCACCCCTCAATATGTTCCTTACGTTCTTAGGTTGAATAAAGGAAGAAAAGGCTTGGCAAAGACAGATTTGTTGGGGCAGCTAGGTGGCACAGTGGATAGAGCACTGCCCCTGGAGTCAGGAAGACCTGAGTTCAAATCCAGCCTCAGACCAGACATTTGACACTTACTAGCTGTGTGACCCTGGGCAAGTCACTTAACCCCCAATTGCCTCACGAAAAAAAAAAAGGGACAGATTTGTTTAGGGGAAAGCCAATGTTATAACACTCTTTAGCAGTTATAAAATTCAAAAATTAAAAGTGAACCATTACTTGATTATATAAAGCAGGATCAGTATTCCCAATTTCTCCAAAAAGGTAAGATTTTATCATCTGCTTATTCTTTGCCTTATAACAAATTTTAAAATGTTACATGTTAATTAAATTTTTCTCATCGCTGAATAATAATATTGATTATCTATTTTTCAATCCTTTTTGTTTTTCTTATGTTTTGAAGAGCTACATTGGAAGTTCTTTTTTCACTCTTGTTTGTTACAGGAAGACCAGAATCAACGACCAGATTTTGGTACTTTGTTTAACATTATCTGAAGATCAGCTTTCTATTTCTTGGTATTTTCATACCCTCTTCTAATAGTTGCCTTTCAAAGGTAGTATATTAGGGTTTTGTCTCCTGTTATTTTAGCATTCTAGGGGAGTTAAGGGTTTAAGTTTACTGAATGATTTGTTTAGTTGTTTCAGTCATATTTGAATCTTTGTGACCTCGTTTGAGGTTTTCTTGGCAAAGGCACTGGACTGATTTGCCATTTCCCTTCTCCAGCTCATTTTACAGATGAGGAAACTGAGGCAAACAGGGTTAAGTGACTTGCTCAGGTTCACACAGCTAGTGTCTGAGGCTGGATTTTAACTCAGGTCCTCCTGACTCCAGGCCTGGTGCTCTATACAGAGTGCCACCTAGCTACCCCTACTGATGATTACTCTTTCCTTATAAAGGAGTGTTGCTGAAGCATGATAGCTTTTGAGAAGGAGGGAGCATCTGGTGGGCAGACTATCCTCCAAAAGTTTTGGGGAGAAGAATATGGTATCCACACATGCTTCTAAAAGTTGGCCCTTATGCTACCTTTGGCCCATATGCTATAAGTTGCTGGTCCTGGCCTTATTCTCTCTACTTTTTGTGACTGTTTTTGCCATATGACTCTGGTATCTCCACAATTTGAGCAACTGTACTAGTTCTCTCACTCTGGGTCTAGATTTTTCTAGTTCAAGATAAAAGTAGGCATTTATTGTTCAGGGAAGAAGTACAGGAAAAGTACATAGCCCAGATGAGCAGGGGTGCTGCCCTTTGAATCATGATCAAAAGTTCAGAGAAGATTTAAAAGGACTTTGATGACCTCAGCATTTCTACTTTCAAAAAAATACTGAAGAAAATAATGCATTTTTTAAATCTAGAAAGATTTTTGTCAACTTGATACATTTTAATAATGGTAACAGAATTTCATAATTGTGATATAGCTTTAATAAGTACATACATAATTTTTCAATGGCTAACTTTGTAGGCATTTAACATTTTCATGAATAAACAATGAGTAATATTCATTGCCACTCTTTTCGTGGTGGCAAAGAATTAGAATCTGAAGGTGTATCCATCAATTGAAGAATGACTGAACAAGTTATGGTATATGAAATGTGATGGAATACTATTGTGCTAAAAAAAATGATGAGCAGGATGGTTTAAAAAAACAAATCTGGGAAGACTTATATGAACTGATGCAAAGTGAAGCAAAAAGAACCAGGAGAACAATTTATATATTAAATAACATAATTGTAAAGACCACTTTGAAAGACTTAAGAACTCTGATCAATACATTGACCAGTCATAATTCCAAGGGATCCATGATGAAATAAGTTACCTACCTCCTTAGAAGTGAAGAACTCAAAAGTGCAAATTGAGCCCTTTTTTTTTTGGACATAGCCAATGTGAGAATTTATTTTGCTTGATGCTATGTACATGTTTATAACAGCAGTTCTGCTTTTCTCACTATGGGAGGTGGGAGAAGGTGGAGAAGGTAGAAGGAGAGAATGAGGATCTGAAAATAAAATTGAATTTAAAAAATTTTTTGTTATGAAAAAATAAACAATAAGTAACTGATAGCTCTCTTATACTGAAAGAGAGAAAACAGAAGTAGAAAGAGAATGATAAGGAATATGTTAAATTAAGAAATAGTTTAAAATTTCACATTTCATTCAAGATTCTGTTGCCTTGGTAAGTAGTCTATGTTATTTGGAACAGCAGTTTCAACGGTACCTTATTTTTATTTTTACCATGGATTGTCCAGAGCATGTGCAGATATTATTTACGTGCTTTCCGTTGACCATGAAGGAACTTCAGTGGCCAGCTTCTGGCCAAATATAACTCATCTCTGAGGGCAGTCTAATTGGTTATTGAGGCAGAACTGAAGACTCATGGGACCATTTAAAAGAAGATAATTTCTCACTGGTGTTTTCTTGGCCACGGCTTTCCTGGTGACAAGATGTAATTCCAGTAGGTCCTTCTCTGACCCAATATCATAGTAACCCATAACCACCTCCTATGTGTGGTGGAGACTCAACAGAATGGGCTCATACACTGACCCCTAAATGCTTTTGCTTCTCTTTTGTGTTTCCTTTCCTTTAAGTGACCTTGTGAGTTTTGAGAAATCTGGCTGTTTGCAAGTGATGGTGGCAGTTATCAGAGCAGTTGGGGTTGTAGGAGCAGGCTGACAACAAGGGAAGCTTCGGCATGAGAAAGTGGACATCACCAGAGGGGATGCCAAGTATGGTCTATTTTGCCTGAAGACCTGTACTGGGAATCGGTGAGACAATGCCCAGTGGAGATGAAATGTAAATGGCTAATTAGTGCCTTGCAAAAGCTGTTTTATATTCCAATGAGGCTTATCCAACATTTCCCAACAGACTACAACAGCAGTTATAAGTTACTGGGTTCTGTTCTAATAATTCTATAATGTGCACTATGATTCTTTTTTAAGGTTATCATTGCTTTCTGATAACAAACTTCCTGTCCTATACCTGACTTATGTTTGTACCTCGGGTACTTTTGTAAACACAGACAAGAACTGTAACTTTTACTATAATTCACATTGTTCCAGGGTGGGGGGTTGTTAATGAGGCTAAAGTGTATGAAAATGAGAAGCATAATTTCTTAAGTAGAAGTCAGGCTTAAGTATAAGTTCAGTCAAGTCTGAACCCAGATAAACTGCAATAGTTGGGAAAGGTGAGTAGTGCAGGTGACCAGCATCTAAGGCTTAATTTCAGCAATGCAGTAACTCTGGGCTCTACACTAGATTTTCTTTCTTTTCTTTACTTAATGGTTTATTAATATTTGTTATTTTTACATCACTGTCCCTTCCCTTCGACCGTTCTCTATCCCCAGAGCCCTCCCTTGTAACAAAAGTACAATCAAGCAAAACAAATCAATATATTTTCCGTGTCTGACATGTATGCCTCATTTTATACCACTAATTCACTTTTCTCTGCTGATAGGTAAGAGATATGCTTCATCATCAGTATTTTGAAGTTATGATTGTAGGGGCAACTCGGTGGTGCAGTGGATAGAATGCTAGGCTTAGAATCATGAGTTCAAATCTAGCCTTACACTTATTTAGCCGTGTAACTCAGTAAGTCACTTAACCTCTATCTGCCTCATTTGTAAATTGTTTCCTCATCCGTAAGAAGGGGATGATAATAACAGCACCTACCTCTCAGGGTTGTTGTAAGGATCAACAAGATCATAACTGTAAAGCACTAGTACGGTGCCTGGCACATAGTAAGTACTATATCAATGTTAGCTGCTATTATTATTATTTTTTTTAGTTGCTACAGTAGAATTTTTGAGTTTTTCAATGTCATTTGCTTTACATTATTGTGGTCATTGTGTAAATTATTCTTCTGGTTCTATTAATCTTGTTCTGTATCAATTCATACATGTTTTCCCAAATTTCCCTGAATCATAGCAAATTATGTGCCATCACATTCACATACCAAAATTTGTGCATAGCTTATTTTTTCTTCTACAGTTTAATCTTTTAAAATGCCACCTACATAAACTAAGACTCTGAAGATGGATGACTCATTTCAGAAAGCAACAGACTACGGAAGATCGTCAAGGGAGACCTTTAAATCCTTGTTTATTAGGTAGGTGGACTGTTACATGAGAAAGCTAGAGTCCATAAAACATAAATAGCAAATATAGAGATATATGATGGCCTCAGATTTTCATTTAGTAAAAGAGATAGTTTTAAAAAAGATTTCTTCTTAGTTATTCATTCTAATACATTTAGCACAATTTCTTAAGTAGTCAACTTTTTTTTAAAAAACAGATATTTTTATTTGTTATGGAGATACATTGATGCAAACCAATAAAGCACAAAGAAGTACATTAAAACTCAAATCTTATGTGATAAATTCAAAATTTAAACTTGTGAAGAAAATCTACATTACTAAGTAGGAGAGAAAAGAAATTTTAAAATGAATTTAAGTAGTGGCAATATCAATGTTGCAGTGATTTCTTCAAAGAGATTTCTTTTCTTCTGGCATATGTCTTTCCTTCTTGAAGGCAGTGGATAGGAAGAACTGATGAGTACCAGAAAATTGATGGGCCACACAAGCTGAGTAACTGCTGGTCATAACACTCAAGTCTAGAGAGCTAAGAGAGGACAAATCCATAGTACTTAGTGACTGACTGGACATGCAGAAGTGAAATTGAGAGAAGTCAAAGATGAATCCCCAGTTAATGAGCCTCGGTTAATGGGAAAATGATGATACTAAGGGTATTTAAAAAAAAAAAGGAAACTCACTTTGAAAGTAAAATGAAACATGATTATAAAAAAGGAAACAGTAAAGATCTCCCAATCACATGATAACATGGGGTGCTGAGGAAAAAAACCATGAATTGTGAGTTTTTATTAACTAGGATATTAATGTACAATAATTCTATTTGCTCACTGCCAGGATTCTGATTCATTAAAGTACGAAGTGTGAAAGGTGGAGTAAAAAGAGAAGCAGAGCACTTAACGTTTATAACAATGTTAAGAGCCACTGAACACTGCGAGACAGTAAGACTCATGTCCTAAAGATGAAACAATAGGCTGCTTCAGATACTTATTAGATGTGTGACCCTTAACCTCTCAGTGCCTCCTTTTCTTCATTTCTAAAATGAACGTATTGGCCCTGATGGCTTCTAAAGGTCCCTATAAATTCTAAAGCTATGATCATATTACCTGTTTACGAGCAAATTTTCAAAAGAAAAGGGAAATTGTCTCATTACTTCAATCAATCTATGATTGTAAATATTTCCTGCAATGATGCAGATCCCAATATTCCTAACCATACTAATCAACTCTTATTCAGGTCTTCCCATAAGTTCACCAGAGTCAGTCCCCTCAACATACTACAGTACTTTCTCCAAGTCTACTGACATCACAAGGCTACCATTGGAGCACATAAGATGTTTACTAGTGAACATGGTTATCCTTCAGTCTGACTATGGGACCAGCCTATCTTCTTTTTTCTGTTATATGTTCCTTGGATAATATTCTTTACAATGCTTCTCCTTCATAACACCTTGTTTGTAATGGGTCATACCTGACTCACATCCCATGTGCCTTCCATTGTTCTTGGGATGATTCTCTCCATCAGTTCTTCAGAGGTTGTACTGTTGTATGACTTGTAGCCAAACAACATCACCGGAAGAACAATGGTGTTAATAAAAAGATGTGCCCTTGTTTTACGGAGAAGCTTATGGTCATGAAAAGAACTATGCAGTTTCATCAAACTATCCAATCTGGTCTCTTATATTATTCAATTCTGAACCTAACTCATTGCCTTTATCATGTATGCATATTTTTCACTTAACAATTTATGTAGGTATGAATGTAAACATATGGGTTAGTAATTATTAATGTTCTCTTCACCTTTAAAATAGAGATATAAATATAATATTAAGGTTTGAGATTTCACCCCTCCCCCCCACACACATCTGTGATAGCTTTCCCTCCTTTAGATACCTTGAGAATAGATCATTCAACATACTCAAAGTCTGGTTGCTTCATGCACCTTCTCTGTATATATTTAGTCTAATCCAATAGCCTTTCCTATCTATCTGGCCTCTACTATTGCAGTAGCTTCCTAATTGATCTCCTTATCTGAAGCTCTCCCCACTCCATTCTATCCTTCAAGCAACTGCTAAAGTGATTTTTCCTAAAGTTCAGTTCTGACCCTCTGAGTCACCTGCTGACCCTTATCACTTCTACCTCCACAACATTGCTCATCTCCACTTGAAGACACTCCTATAAGGCCTCCATCACCTCTCCCCTGGACTATTACAACTGCTTACTAATTGATCTCTCTGCCTCAAATTTCTCAGCCCTACAATCCAACCACCACTCATTTGCCAAAGTGATTTTCCTAAAGAAGAGACCTGACCATGTCACTCCCTCTACCCGATGAACTCTAGTGACTCCCCATTATCTTCAGGATCAAAAATAAGCTACTCTGTTTGACATTTAAAGCTCTTCATAACCTGGCTCCTTCCTACCTTTCAAGGCTTCTTGCACAGTATTCCCTTCATACAGCCACATTTGTCCATTTTTGGGGTTCCTTGCACATAACACTGTCTCCATGCCATTAGCAGTCTCCAATATCTGCAATGTCCTCACTCCCCACCTCCTCTTCTTGGAATTGCTAACTTCCTTCAACACTAAGTTTGAGTACCACCTTCTATATGAGATCTTTCCTCCAGCTACTAATTCCTTTCCCTCCAACAGATCCTTTAGAGTTTATTGAGTAGTAGAGTTAGTGATGTGAGGAGTCATTCCTAAATCAGCTATTGGCATAGTAAATCCACTCATTTATTAAAGATCAAAATTTGGAAAATTTATGGTGTTCAATTAAAACACCTGCATTTTAACCTATTTAAATAAATTATTAATGCCAAAAATTTTGAAGATGAATAGAGAAAAGGACGATACTTCCCCAGAAATTTTCCTGTTATAAATAAATTGCCCTAACAGGAGATTAAAATAACCTGGAAAGTGCTTCACACAGTAATACTTGATCTCTCTGGCAAAAGGAGAGACACGGCACTCAATGGCAACAGTCTATGAGTCAACGAGCATTTATAAAACACTTGTTATGTGCTTGGTATACACAATCCTAGTTGGTGAGAATACAAAGAAAGACAAAAGTCAAATAGTCCCTGCTCTGAAGGAACTTCCAGGGATGGGGAAACCTGTGGCCTCGAGGCTACATGTGGTCCTCAAGTCCAGCCCTTTGACTGAATCCATGTGAATCACATGAAGTTTGGATTCAGTCAAAGGGCTGTACTTGAGGACCTAGAGGGCCACATGTGGCCTCGAGGTTGCAGATTCCCCACCCCTGCAACAGTGTCATGTACATATATAGGCATATATAAACTACGTACAAAGAAGACACTAAAGCTCTCTACTGCCTTCAGGATCAGAGATGAACTACTTTTTTTTTTTTTGCTTTTAAATCCCTTCACAGTCTGGCTTGAACCTATCTTTCCAATCTTGTTAAACATTAGTACCCTTCCCACACTCTGTTGCCTAGATCCCTCCTTGCCTTACATGACAACTTTCACTGGCTGTGTTGTTGACTCTTCCTGACCCCCACTTGGGATTTTCTTTGCAAAGATACTGGAGTAGCTTGCCATTTCCTTCTCCAGCTCATTTTACAGATAAGGAGACTGAGGCAAACAGGGTTAACTGATTTGCCCAGAGTCACACAGATACTAAGCGTCTGAGGCCGGATTTGAACTCCAGAAGAGGAATCTTCCTGATTCCAAGTCCAGTGTTCTATCCACTGTGCCACCTAGCTGCCCCCTTTCACTGGCTATACCCCATGTCTGGAACACACTCTCTCCTCACCTATAAGTTTACATGTTGTTTCCTATATTCCTCTTAACTCCTCTCAAATAACAGTTCCTTGTGGATAGTGCTGGTTTTATTGTTATCTTTGTAGACTCAGCACCTAGGATAGCACCTGGCAGCTAGTAGGTAATTATAATCATAGCTAGTATTTATAGAGAGCTTTAAGGTTTACAAGGTAATTTTATGTATGCTATTACCCATGAGTAATAAGTAATAAAAAGTTATTACCTATGAGTTAGGTGCTATTATTATCCTTATTTTACGGATGAGGACACAAGTTGTAAACTCAGGTCAGAGACTGACTTTCTGCTTGCATCCCCAGCAGTTAGTAAAGTACCTAGCACATAGTAAGTGCTTAATAAATCATTGCTGACTTGCTCAGGGTCACACAGTTAGTAAATTTTTGAGTCAGGATTCAAACTCGGGTCTTTTTGAGTTTAGGTCCAACATTCTATCCACTACCTCATACAGTTGTTCTAGGCTTAATAAATGTTTATTAAATAAAATTTTAAATAAATTTAAATAAATTTAAAAGCATTTAATTTTATTAAATAAAAACTTATGCTTAATAAAAGAGTGCTATAAGGGGAGGGGTGGAGGACTGGCCAAGGAGACTATTCGTGCACAGAGTTCCTGTGGTGCAATCTCATGGGGCCTTTGGAGCATGTACAAATACTATGTAACTATGGTAGACTAACCAGTGACTGTGCTGGTGTAGTCATCACCAATGGTGTATTTAACCTCATTCTCTTTCTTGGTTTGTTTGTTTGTTTGTTTTTCAGTCTGGCAGCATTCTGATAAGAGACAATGTTATAAAGGGAGAGGCCCCAGGTCTTTTCCATCCAAGACACATAGGCAGACTGTGAATACAGGTTCTTTCCCTGACTATATTTTCATTTAATTTAGGTTGAGTAGATAACTAGTAAGCCTTGAGAGGTCAAGAAAATGAGCTGAGTTCCAGGACTGGAGTCCTGGGGTTGTATCTGGCCAGTTCAGCTTTAAGATCTAGAAAAATCAAGAGCAGCCTTTGAGACCCAGACCGGGGGTAGGTGAGACAAGGACTCATCCAGCAGTGATGCCGCATTTGAATATGAACTTGATGGGACCAGCATTATGTAGAAACTGGATTTAGTTTCAGTCTGCTCTTTCCAGAGACTGTGATGATATAGGGGGTGAAGGAAAATGTTTCTACTTTTGTTCTTGCTATATCTTCAAAGTAACTATCTCTCTGTAAAGACTAATTGATAGTAACTGGTTAAATGAAACTGGAGTGCTAATCTCCAGCAGCAGCTGGGGGACCACACCAGAATGGAGGTTCAAGACAACAGCATCACCAAAGAGACACCTCAATTCCTCAGAACCATTCTAGAACCCTATGGCAACAATGCATCTAGCCTTGCTCTGGGAAGGTAAGGCCAAGGTGCTTGCTACAAAAATATTCATGACATGTAGACATGAGGTTTTTCTGGGTAATCTGTCTACAAGTGTTCAGTCTTTCTCATTTCTTTTTCCAATGTATTTCTCTCCATCCTCACTTATTCCCAGCTTTGCACTAGAGTAAACAAGTATCAAAGTATGTTGATTTAATTTGGGGGGACGGGGGAAATCTTACGTGCTTTTTCATAGAATTTTTCTACTCTTTGATTCCCTGCAACAAAATCAAGTGTAAAAACCATAATAAGTTTCATGGTGGCCTTTTTTATGGGTACTTCTCAAAAGTATGGCAATGCCAGATGACCAAATGTCCCACAAAATGCTGTTTATTATTGCCTTTAGGCACATGATAAAATAAACTGCCAATTCCTTTGTTTGCCTCTTTAAGGAGAGCCTCTGAGTCACCCTTCCATGAGCTACAACTTCCTTGTTTTGTTTATAAAAAGGATGTTAAAAATGTTAGCGTTGAGTTCCTCTGGTAGTATGGCTACTTGTTCATTGGGCAAGAAACTAATTTTTAGGGTTCAGACAGCCATATTAAAGTTTGCAGATAGTCAAAAACCTATGGGATTCTTGGTACCCTCTGATATTTTTAACCACCCTCACATCATAAAAAAAAGAAAGAAAAAGAAAAAGAAAGAAAAAGGTGTGTATAGGACCGAAGGCCATTGAATAATTTTCTTTTTTCATAGACTGCCTCGGCCAAAGCATTCATTATCAAATGCCTATCTTAATGGTGATGAGCTATCTTTCTACTTAGCTAGGCTAATCCTTGTAAAGCAGATTAGGTATTTTTCAGAAACTATCCTCAAAGCATTTTTAGGTAAAACTTTCTTCGGCTTGTGCTCAGTTGGCATAGCTTTTGGGAATCCAGGCTTGTCTTCATGTTAGAGGAAGGCACTGGAGCAGGGCTTTGTGGTTGTCGTTGTTCACTTGTGTTTGACTCTTTGTGACCCCATTTGGGATCTTCTTCGCAAAGATACTGAAGGGTTTGCCATTTCCTTTTCCAGCTCATTTTACAGATAATGAAACTGAGGCAAACAAGGTTAAGTGACTTGCCCAGGGTCACATAGCTACTAAGTGTCTGAGGTCATATTTAAACTCAGGAAGACCTTTCTTCCTGGCTCCAGGCCCAGCACTCTATCCACTAGACACCTAGCTTCCCAGTAGGACTTTGTGGAAGAACTCATAAATAAAATTCACTTTCAAAACTGCTGAAGATGGAACTCTCATTTCAAAATGTATGCTTCTCATAGTTGCAGGCAAGTGTTTTGATCACACTTTTCAACATTAAGAAGAACAATTAAAGCCCCCTCTCCAACTCTTCTTCATGTGATCATTAAGTTTAGCAGTCTGAAGTCATCTTAGTTCTTTACTGCCAAAATCCAGCAATGTTAATGATTAAAAGAGCATCTGTCTGGATTATCGCAGGGACAACCTTCTGTCTTCTTTAGCTGGAGTCTCTGGTGAAGAGGAGAATATGTGGCAAGATGATGCAGAAAATAAGATCATTAAATACTGGCAGTACTTTGGGATAATTCATTAGTTCATTATGTCATTTCCTAATTGTCTAGTAAAAATTGAACTTAAAATTATGTTGTTGAATAGGGGAAAATGCAAACTCCATTCCTTGTTCTATTCCTCAAATTAACTGCAGTTATTTCACACTGTACACAGTGGGTGTTTAATAAAATATCTTTTTCATTGGATTGAAGCATCATTTTCTCCTAGACAAAGAAGACCCCAAAGTTTCAAGACTAGCATTAAGGGAATAGGGACTAAAAAAATTTTAAAAATAACTCAGCCTGGAATTAAAATGAAGCATGGTTATAAAAGGCTCTATATTCTAAACGATTCTTCCAATTTAGCAGAAGATATTCTCAGCCTTCAAAAGATCTCCCATTCTATATCTTGCCATCTGTTTTTCCACTTGCTGACAGATTTAAGGTCTTTCAATATTTCAGTAAGCTCAACAAGGGTTTCCCTGACCTATTTATTATGACCAAACACTGGCAGTTCCTGAGATACATATACTGAACTTATGAATATTCTTTTCATATGATCTCATACCACCTCTCCTGCCAAATCCTACCATGGTCATCCCACTTCCTCCCTTCTCCCTCCCCCAAATAACTAAACTATCCCAGGCCACCTCTTCCCTAGTGACTTATTTTCCGCTTTAGGCAGTGGAAACATACAATGCTTCTATCTTTTCTTCTATCTTTTGCCATTTTGGCTCAGATAATTCTACCTCAATCTTCTTTTTCACATGTACTACCCCATCTCCAACCCATAAAGTCCTTTTCTCTTTTACCTCTTTCTTCGAACTCTTAACAGACTCCCCCAGGAAAGTCCCTTTCTTTCCCTTGGTTCTATTTGTGAGCTAAAAATCACTCTACTCACAGCTGATAAACTAAAGTGTATCCAGAGAGATACATTCACATCAAGGTAAAGAAAAGATGAGAGTTTTGTAAGGAAATGAGATTTTTAAAAATACTCCAAAGTTAAAAAAACATTCCTTATTAAATTTGTTTTTCTGTTTCAGTTATTAGAGAGGCAGTGTTGTTAGTGGAAAGAGTTCTATATTTGGAGTTAGATGGTGTGCACTTGAATCTGCTGCTTATTAGCTGTGTGACCCTGGGCAAATCATTTAACCTCTCTGAGCTTTGGTTACATCATCTCTTTTAGGAAAGGGGATGAAAATACTTCTATACCCACCTCACAAGGTTATTGAGAAGAAAGAGCCTTATAAACTCTTAAGGGGTTGTTATTTTTGTCACAATATTGTTTTCTATTTTTCATAATCATTGTACAGTATTTCTACTTGTGCTGTAGGTTAAAAAGGCTCTTGTACTAGCCCAAAGACCTAACCGTTCTTTATAAAAATGTAATATAATAAATGCCATTAAATATGGCAATTTCTGTAGAAAATGCAATTCACGTTCCAAACAACCAACTTGTAAATGAACTTTTGGACTTCTACATGGCAGCACACTACAGTGGGGAAAAAAAAGCATCCTGATGTCAAAAGACCTGGATCCAATCATTCCTCTTCCACTTAATCCCTCTGTGACCCTGGGCAAGTCATTACCATATCTGGGCTTTGGTTTTTCTCATCTATAAAATGAGAGGGTTGGATTAGATAGGCTTTTGAGGTCCCTTTCAGCTCTAACTCTAAGATCCTAATGAATACCAGAATATTCTATGAGGAATTAGTACAAGAATTTCTTTAGATCCAAATATGAGTCAGCAATCTACTCTTTGAAAATTAGAAAAGAATTTAGAAAATATATTATTTTATATTTGGATTTTTTTTTTTAGCAAAATCTATCTCACTAAACTACCCATTAAATAATTTTTGCTATGTATTTGCCAAGGCTGCATGTGTGGTGAAGCAAATGAAGTTTTGTCATTATGTTGACATTTTAAATATTTTTAATGATTTCATGAAGGTTTTTTTGGTAAAATGTTCTAGTGTGCCTAGGTTTTTCCATATTTGAACTTGTACATTTTAGGAACAAGAAATAATCATCCACTTCACCTGTTACAAGGACAATTCCTTGCACTTAGTAGGTACTTAATAAGTACTTGTTGAATTTCACTTTTTGCTTCTAAGCTCTTTCTAATAAATACACTGAGTTCATTGTCTTCAACAGAAAAGTTTTATGCAGCTTTTAGATTTACTCTTAATTCTCAACTTAGTTTCTTGTTAGGAGTGTTTTCCATATGATTATACCCATTAAATGTACATCCAGAATGTCTTGTACTGATTGCAAAGATGCTGTCTTTATTCCATCATGAGAAATTTCTGAGAAAGAGGGCTAGAAGTAATAGGTAGCCTGATTGTGAGTGATTGATTTCAGCTTGCTGATTACTCAATTTTCCATGGGAAGGCCAAAGAGACATCAACATTTTATGATTAAAGGGGATTTAAAAATTCCTCTCCCAGGTTATGGAATTCTCTGTGGATTGGTGTTTTAGAAGTCTGAGGAAAGCCAAAGACTGAAAAGCCACTGTGGAGATTGAACATGGGGAAATATTTTCTGATCTATATATAAAGAGTTCTATCGTCCCTACATGCAGCAAGAACAGGCACCTAAAATTACAAGTAAAGTACAATACTAAAGGTAATAACATCATCAAAAGATCCTTAAAGTTCATCAAGAGCCTAGAATTATGACCTGTATGTATTTCAATATGCAGATATAATCCAATCCTCCTTAAAGAACATGAGATCAAACAAATAAACATATTGACTTGAACTGATTAGTATTCGTGGTGTTTGCCTAAAATAGAAAACATAATTTCAAGGAAAAATAAGAATTTGTGTTCATGACACATGCAAACCACAAACCATAGCTTTCATCCTATAGTCAGTGTTAACAGAAAATGATAATATCCCAGAAATATAAAAAAACGCAGATCTCTCTTTGTCCTATGAAGAGAAATTAAGTCAGAATTTGCACTTCATGAGACCTGCATCAATAAATGAGTGAAATCTTTGTACCATCTCTCTCATTAATTCCAAAGTAGGCTTTCCTGAGATATTTCATTAAGTCTCAAAGGTAACTGCGATGCCATCCCATAGGTTACCTCTTTAATGAATTGTATTTTCCTGCCTTTATCCACAGAGTAGTAATGATTAGGACTAAAACAGAGTTAATTACAGTACCTTTCAAGCAAGGTCCTAAATTTAGTTCTTTATTCAGCCTACTGTGATTGTGGATGAATCACAGGGGTCCTTAAAACAAGATACAGAGAATTCGATTTAATTATGCTCTAGGGTGGAAGCTTTAGCCTATGGACATTTATATCATTAAAGAAAAAGTGAGACTATCGAGTGGGGGAGCAAGGAAGCATTGGTTATTTATGACTGTAGCAAAGTGAACTTTCCAGTGCTGGCAAGGTCTCAAAAATGGCAGTAATTGAGACAAATGGGCTTTACGTGCACAGAGGAGATTTCAGCGACTGTGATGTTAATTTAGAAAAAGAAGAAAAAGAAAGCATTAACAAAAATGTAGTACCTCTTTAAAAGCCAAGAAAAGAAAGGCTAAAGTAAACATGTGAGACAAGGCTGCAGTTTGAGCCATCTGGCCCTGCAAGAGAGCAAGAGGGAACCCCCCTGACTCACCTCTCTGCACTACTCTCTCAGCTCAATCCCTGCTAATTTCTCTCATTCTCCCTCCTCCCCCATCTCCACTCCCACCCCAGGGATCCAGGTGCCTGCTGCTAATGAGACTAATTAACATTGATGCAAGGAACATATGTTACCCTCCATCCTTTAGTAAAGTGTAAGGCTAGTAAGATATTTAAGAAGGGATTGTAATTTTTTTTTGGGGGGGGGCAGGGTACCAGACCAATGAGCTCATTCGAGTGGAGAACTTCCTCTACCACTGCAGATGGGATACTCACTGATAACTTAAAGTCTCAGACTTATAGACTTATAATCTACTTCTCTTAAAACATGCAAAATGTGGTACCTCTTAAGCCTATTAAGAGCCACAGAATGAATTTTCACTTTTTATATTTTCTTGGTTCATAACTAATAGCAGATGTTTTCTTTGTTTACAATTTTGTTTCAAAAAATTCAAGACCAGTGAACAAAGAATGTTCTTTATCCAAGTTAGACATCCTCTGTGAAAGACTATGAAAATTCCTATTATGCTCAGGTTATGAGACAATGCTGCTACAAGCGATGGGCCACAACTGTTCCCTTCCTCTGTTTAAAAGTGCACATTATTCCACAGGCCACTGAGCAAATGCCTAAGGGCTCTCTGAGGTATAGAATCCTGTTTGACAATTTCTCACATACTAGTATAAAAAAAGCATTGGCAAATTGAGATTCCAATATTCAAATAAAGATTACTTTATAAATGACAAAACATGTGGCCAGATGTCAGAGCAGTCACTATGGCGGAACTACACACGCCCTAGGCGCCAAAATTTAGAGCATCAAAAACTAACACTTGAATTTAGTGCCTAGTTAGCAAGGATCTGTTAAAATAGGAAGCTGAGGGCTGAGAGTCACCCAAAAGGGAAGGGGCAGATGCATGATGGAGCCCTGCTCAGGCAGCCATAAATCAAGAAGGAAGAAATGTTCAGAAGACATTGTGTAAAAGACGTCAGCAAGATGCATGATGAAGAAAAGGTGGGTAATTCATAGAGCAAGATTAAGGGGTAACTGAATGAAAGCCTATATGCTCCACTGGCATCCATGCAGTGTCTTGAAATATAGGTGCAAAGTTATAGAAAAAGGACATGTGTATAAGGAACAGCAAGAAAGCCACTTTGGCCTGTAAAGCATGTGAACAGGAATAATATGTAATTAGGTTAGAAACATGTTAAGAATGACTTTAAATGCCAAAGAGATTTGTATTTAATACTAGGAGTAATAAGGACTCACTGGAGATTATTGGCTGGGGAATGATGTGGTCAAATCATTGCTTTAGGAATATCGCTTCAGCATGGAGAGAGACTGGAGGGAGAGAGATCAGTTAGGAGATTGTTTCAGTAGTTAAAGCACCAGGTAATGAGGGCTTGAATAAGTAGTGGCTATGTAAGGGAAGAGAAGCATAGGCTATCTGGCATACCTAGAATACACTCCCTCCTCACCTCTGCCTCTTAGAATCCCAAGTTTTCTTCAAAGTTTAGCTAACATACCACTTTCTACATAAGAACTTTCCTAACTCCCTCCCCTACCCCCTGCCATATATTTGGGCTGAACCTACAAAAATAAATCTCCCTTATATTTTTTGATATATACTTATACAGACAGTTCTGCTGTAATATGACATATATATGTATTCCCCAAAGCACTGCACTTTGCAAAATCAAGCAATAAAAAACCCAGAGATCTTATGGGGAAAATGAGAATAGGGACACAACATTAAAACTTCACAAGTGATGTATAAAAAAGATGGAAACCTAATAAAAATGGTACCAAGTTTTATACTTATGTAACCCAGGCATATCTGAGCGTATCTAATTCACATACATGGAAGTGCCCTTGGGGAAACCTTGGAGCATGGATTGCCTAAAATGGAGATCCTTTCAAGCATTTAGCATGGTGCCTGGCACAGAATAAACACTGTATAGATGTTAACTATTACTATTATTCTTATCATTAGACAGAGTTGATCACTCTACCCTGGTTTCTGCTACTCCCTTATCTGTTGCATCCAGAGGGTGAAGACCCAGTTCACCCACAGCAAGGATACTATCAACTGAATCTGAGGAGAAGGATTTTCCTTCCCTTGCTCCCCCTCTTTTACCCTGGCTCTGAGAAATGGGACTGGGGCAAGGGATGGGAGGTGGGGTGGGGCGGGAGTTGTTTTGGTACTGTATTGTTTATTTTCATCAGTTTTACATGCTGAAGGTGATCCCCACAGGACCAGGAGTGTGAATCATGACCTTGGAGTCAGGATTTTAGTGAGCCAGCCCAGCATGACCAGCATTCCAGGGTGCCTGAAACTCAAGCCTGAGAAGGGTTTCAGTCTTGGAAATGGGACTATATTCTACAGAATTGAGCTAAACTATAAATCCAATCCCTTTCACTTCTAAGAGATTGAGGTTGAGCAGGGGAAAAGAAGGATTATGCCTCTTACTTGATTTAGAGATGGGGCAGTGCTAAATCTGGTCTGTTGCCTGCTTTTGTGTGGCCTGTATATGTGATTTAATTTTATGTTAAAAATGGAAAAACCATTCTAAGCCGGTGAGGCCCTATAAAAACAGGCAGTGGCAAGATTTGGCCCATGGGCTGTAGTTTGCTGATCTCTGGTCTATACAATCAATAAAACAAGAAATCAAGCCCCAATTTGGAGCACTGGTGAATTTCCAAGGTGCAAATGCTCACACTGAAAATTTAACAATTAGTTAACATGAGTCAACTCTAGCAGGTTCTACCACACTCCTGTTTACACGCATACTTGATATCTTTTCCAACAAAATGCAAGTTCTTTGAGGGGAGGGACTATTTAATTTTTGTCTCTGTACCCCCAGAGCCTTGCATAGTGCCTGGCAAATAGTAGTTAATAAATGCTTGTCGAATTGTCTTTGACTTGCTTGGAATACATGCACAACAGTGAAATAACTGAGTCAAAAAGTATAAATAATGCTTTTTCTCACAAATTGTTTTCCAGAATCACTAGATGAATTCACAGCTCTACCAAAAGCAAATTCAGAGTTCTTGCCTTCCACAGGCTCGCCAATATGAACCATTTCTATATTTTATCCTAGTTTGTCATTTTGATGGGTGTGAAGTAAAGTTTGAAGTTATTTTAATATCTCTTTCTGTTACTATTCATCATTTAGAGTAATTCTTCAACATGGTTGTTGGTAGCTCCCAAATTTTCTTTTAAAAACCATTTGTTCCTATCATTTGACCACTATGCTGTTGTGAATTGGCTCTTGGTCTTATATAGTTGTCTCAGTTCTTTATATTTCTTGGATATTAAATTTTTATGAATGACATTGGATGCAAAGATTCTTTCCCATTTAAGAATGTGAAAAATGATTGTTAATAACCAGTATCTTGGAGATGCAGAGCTTCCCCCAGCCTCCTTCTTTCAAAGTCCTGACTTTAAGTTCAGTTTTTCTTCAGAAGGACATTACTGATAATGAGATTGCAATGACTCTCCTTATCTGGGTCAGCCCCCACGCAAATTTGCAAGTAATTTAATCTAAGGTAGGAAAGCCTATTGTGTTCTGCTCATGCTTGGATGCAGACAGATTCTTTTGTCTAGATAGCTCAAATTGGAGGCGGGGGCCTGATAATGGAGGTATTTTCTCTATCCAGGGGTGAAATGATGATGGAGTGATATCAGCCCCTGTTGAAAGTGTATATAAACTCTGCATCCTAACCCCAAAGTGAACTCAGTCCCAAACTGCAGCTCCCATGCATGGTGCCCACTTTGAGAGAAATAAACATGGAGACAATCTAACTCTGAAGGTTTGTCTTGGACTGAACTCTGTAGGTTGACAATAATTTCTCCTATTCTAGTCACAATGGCTTTATTTGTACAAAAGTATTTAAAATTTATATGACCTATTTATATAATGCATTATATAATCAGATAATAATATAATATAATATAATACGATACGATACGATACGATACAATACAATGTAATATAATATAATATAATATAATATAATATAATA